AAAAGAATCCTACCCATGATAGAATCACAAAACCTTCCTACCCATTAATTCGGATTTCGTTTCCAGCATTCCACCGTTCAACAAGGACTCCGAATTGTTGTCCACATATCCTCAGCCTTAGAAAGCAAAGAGTATTGCTCGGGAGCATTCCTGGACATTGAGCAAGCTTTTGACCGCGTATGGCACACCGGACAACTCTTCAAGCTCCAAACCCACCTACCCCAGTCCTTATATCTTATAGTCCGATCCTACCTCTCTGACCGCTCCTTTGGAGTTCGTTGTGGTACAGAATTCTCCAACTGCCATTCTATTGAGGAGGGAGTTCCTCAAGGCAGAGTCTTGGGTTCCGTCCTCTATATTCTGTTTACTGTTTGATTATATATATATATATATATATATATATATATATATATATATACACAACTGAATCATAAGAACTACCCATTTTCCTCTCTTATAGAAACATTTCAACTGCATCCTTTTCCTGAAACCAGACAAACCTTCCAATAATACATCATCCTATAGCCCTCCATCAGTTTCCACTGGCTTCCAATAACAGTGATGCGGCTGAGAGAGAAGCATTGAGTTCTCCTGGAGTGCTGCCTTGGCTTCCGCATTTGGGGGACAAAGCATGACTCAGAATCCCCTGGGCGAATTTAAATATTGTATACAGGTGTGAATGTGTTTTATTTATTTTAATTTCATTTAGCTTCTATTTATTAATTTTTTACTTATTTCATTTTTGAATACTTATTTTTCTTTATTATCTCCATCTTAGTTATTATTTTTATGTACATATTGTGTGAATGATTAATATAGCCCTACTATTAATTCCCTTCAATGTGGTAGAATGTATTTATACTCAATAAAAAATTATTTACTTATGTTTATTTTATTTTTCTCAAGCAGTGATACTGCAATATTGTGATTCTATTGCTCATCTGCTTATATTAATATATATTTATTTTATTTCTTTCTTATGCCATAGCCATTGGGTCATTCGACCATCTGACATCTTGCTGCCCAGTTAAGTTTGATTTTTTTATATAATCATTCACATATGTTTCTTTATTTCTTATGTCCGTCAAAGCAGGACATTTGGCTAGGTGGTCTGCATCCATTTTTAATTTACACCTAGGATCCTCAGCCACGCCTATCTTGTGGAGATGACTTTGTAGATAGTCGTGACCAGTGGCAGGTGGAACCAGGATACTGCATCTCTTCTTGGTAGGTCTGCTGGGATCGGCTTTTCCACCAAACATCCATAATGTCTCCCTTCCACCTTGTCTTTGTGCATATTTTTTGTTTCCTCCTTCACTACCATCCTCACTATTTGTCGGATTGAATCGTAAAATTTTGGATGGACTGTTTGAGTCAATTCTGCTCCTCTTCTGGTGAGACTATCTGCTTCCTCATTTCCTGGAATACCGCAATGGCTTGGAATCCACTGTAGGACCACATTGGTGCCTCAGAGTGTTAGATCGTAGAGAAGGGATTTTCCAAGATAGTACTCGACAGACATTTATTCACGTCAGTAATAGCGAGGATTGCTGCTTGAGAGTCGACAAAGAGAACAGTGCTCTGAACTTGCATTCCTGATAGTGTTCTTAGGGCTTTGAGGGTCACTGCTATCTCACCGTCAAAGTTCATACTATCCTCAGCCTCCGCAGCACTGAACTGAAACTCCTGCACCAGCATTTTTAACGGCTGATTCAGCTGATCCATCGGTATAAATGTGAAGCCAATCCTGAGGAGGGTACTTTCGAGCTATAGTTTCTAGTGCTATTGCTTTTAGCTTATAGTCTGGTGTTTATTTTTTATCCACCTTATGGAGGAGTTGCAGCTCTGCCCTGCTTGCATGATTGTGGGTTGGCAACTGTGGCTGTATAAATGGCTCCCTTTCTTCACAGTCCAGCCCTCTTTCTTCAAGCAAAGCCTTTGCCTTTAGCATGAAAGATTCTTGTGTCTTGAGCCTTGAGTTGAGATTTTGTATTTTTTCCAAAACTCTGGGTTCATTCTTCTCATTTGCTCGTGAAGACACATCGCAGCTTGCTCACGCCGTTTCCAAAGGGGTTCTACTGTGTTCTACAGCTCCATAGCTCCAATAGGAGTTAAGTGTGGTGTGACCAAAATTAAATGCAGTACTTTGTTCTGCTGGCTGTCCAGTCTTTTCAGGGATGCATCAGCCGCAGTACAGATGACTTCAAAACCGTATTCCAGTACTGGGCGTACATAGGTTTTATATGCAAGACCCATCACATCCTGGGTGGCCCCCCATGTCTTTCCTCCAAGACGTTTTAAAAGCTTAAGCCTGTTTTCTCCCATATCTTCAATTTGCCTGTTCGAATTCATTTTGGTGTCTAAACTAACTCCCAGGTATTTGCCTGCATAGGTTCTTGGCAAGGGAACATTATTATAAATGACTTTGGTTGATAACATGAACAGTTGAAAGTCAGTTTTCTGGGTGTTCACTTCCATTTCATTTGATATGGTCTAGGTAAAAAGTCTTGTCATTGCCTCAGTTATTGCTGCTTCGAGTGCTGTTATGCTGCTACTAGTTGCATATATTAGTAGATCATCAGCAAATAATAGAGCAGATATTCCGGGTATTCTCTCGAGCACTGCCACTAAGTCATCTATCATTATATTAAAAAGTGTGGGGCTCAAAACAGATCCTTGGGGAAGTCTCTGGCTAAAAGATCTGAAGCTTGAAAACCAGCCATTGTGTCTTACTCGGAGAAATCTCTGGGCCAAGAAGGACCGTATGGCTCTGTACATTTTTCCACCAATATTCATTTTGAGGAGCTTTTTCAGATGGACTTTCTTGCAGACTTTGTCGAAAGCAGCTTTAAAATCAACATATACTGCAAGTGTATGTTGTTTCTGTTGGAATCCATCTTTTACATCCTCACTAAAATGAGCCACCTGCCCAGTTGTACATTGGTGCCTTCGGAAACCTGCTTGTTTTGACGACATCTTATTTTCCCTATCTAAATAAGCTAAGACCATTCTCTCATAGAGCTTAGAAAAAACACTTGTGAGCGAGATAGGTTGGTAGTTAGATGGACAACAGGAACATTTGTCTTTTTTGAGAATTGGGATCACCTCAGCCTTCCTCCAGGTACAAAAATATCGTGACGTCCACACACTATTGAGGAAATCCAGCACTATGAGCTTAGCTTTCGCATCCAGGTTTATAAGGAAATCTGGCAATATATCATCAGGGTCACCGCTTTTTCCCTTCTTTGTTTGTGCCAGAGCAAGTTGAAGCTCTTCCTTTCTGAAGTCGTCTTCAAAGAGTTGGCTTTCAGAAAGGTTAAAATATAAGATTGTTGGTGCAGTATTAATTCTCTTATTTTTTTCTGCTGGTTTATAGTATATTAGAGCCCCTGGCAAAGAATTTACAAAAGGTACTCCTTGCTATGCCAAGTCCAGAAAATATCTCCTTGTTATTAAACTTAAGAGGGTTGTTACTTTGATGATTTCCACCATTTAGCTTTGAGATGAATTGATGTGCTTTTATCCCATCTCGACGAAGTCCAGACTAGCCAAATATTCCCTAAAAGCCTTTTGTTTGGCTTGAATTATATTCAGCTTTAGGGCTGTTGTAAGTTTTCTTAGCCTAACAATGTCTTCCACTTTTCTTGACCTTTCTGCATCCCTACTTTCTTTTAGTTTTTGTAGATTATCACTCCAGAATGGAGTGTATCTCTTCATAAATCCCCGAGGAATAGACCTCTTTTAACACTCGAGAATTACCGCTTGAAGTCACGCACAGCTTGTATCTACACTCTATGTAATGGTTTCAGGAGTAATGGCTGTGTGAGCGAGATGGGAGAACTTTTTCCAATTGGCCTTTTTTAAATTCTATCTGAGCATTCAAGGTACTGAACTATTACTTGAATTTGAGTGGCTACTAAGGTATGTAAGCATTATTTTGTGACCAAATGTTCCAGGTGGAGGGGCAACTGTGTGGGAGATAAGCGGAGCTATTTGCGGGTGCACCAATAATAGATCAGGGTGGGTGTTGTTACCTTTATAATCCATAAAAGTAGGCTTTGAACTTTTGTTTTCCACAAATTCTATCATATTTGTGTCAATAAATTCCTCCATGATTTGATTTGTCTGGCTGAATTTGAGTTGCGTTGAAGTCTCCATACACAAGGGATCTATCAGTCATGAGTTTTCAAGCCAACCCAAATTCGGTTTATTATTAAGTGGGTTGTAGACTACAAATATTTGATGGTAGAGGTTGCTTGACCATAGATTTATTTCCACCCCTTCCAATTCATCATTTGCATCCTTTTCTTTTTTAACTTGGAACTTAGCTGTGAAAGAAGACCTTACGCCGACAAGTATCCCCGATGCTATTTGCCTAGCTCTTGGCAGTGAGTAAATCTGGAAATTTGGGAACCTAAAGTATTCCAGATTGTCAGCAGAATGAAATTACAAAATGCTTCAACTCGGTGTACTTTTCACTGGTGAGACTACCTGCATTCCAAAAAAGAGCCTTTAACGTAAAGTTGTCAGGGCCTTGAGAAAGGCCTTTTGCATTGGCCTGGCTTTGTACTGGCCGCGCCATGAGTCGCTTTTGGTAAAACTGGGTGTCTGGCAACTATGTGATCATTTGGTTGGTTATCCATTGGCACGACGAGGATGAGATCACAACACCCCCTATTAATATATCTTTAAGCTGTGTATATACCTGTTTTATTATTTATGTTTAATTTAATCTTTTATGTATTAGATCTTTTGGCCAGATGTAATGCTAATTTTTATGAACAATATTGTTATTCTTAAGGGACGTCCCAGAATAATGTTATTTCTATTCAATTGCATTCTATTCTGCAATTGTATATTTAATAGCATACCTTTCTTTACGATCTGTTCAATGGTGTTTTAGTTGATTTACATGATTAAATATTGACTAACTTAAAGATCTACTAGAATTATTCTCCTATCCATTGCTTAAGAATTTCATTTATATTCTTATTTTAAAGGTTCTGGAGTATTTTATATCCAAATTAGAAACTGAAAAGGACATGTGTACAGATGTTGATACAGTTTTAAAAGTAATCGTTGATTCCTCACCAAAATGGCCGTCTCACAGATTGCAGGTTAGCCGTATATATTTAACAATTAGAATAATAACTAAAATGATAAAATAATTAAAATGTTTGACTTTCAAAAATAGGTAGAAGGCAGATACTTATTTACAACTCCAGTAGAGAACCTAGCAATCTTGCCCATGAAAGCTCATAGTTCCTTTCCTATCTTATTAGAAGATGATGTTATTACCCCAACACAGTTGTTTTTTTAATATCTTTTCTGTATCTCTAATGAGATAAATAGAGGAAGTGGATAATTCCACTAGTCCTTTTGAAAATATCAGATGACCAATAGCACTGAGTTAGCTTGGCATTTTCTCTCTGTTCAATTACCACATTATTTTCAGAGCTTCAAAAGTGGTCTTGGGAATAAACACTCTATATTAGAGGTGTCCAACCTTTTTATAATGCACGCCACAACCTAGGATTCGCCATATTGAGGCATGTCGCAACAGTGCATCTTCATTGTGAGATTGCTTTACTGTTGTTTCCATGTAAAACTTCCTTCTCTGGCATTTCTAATGAATCTTGAATGAGTGAAAAATTGATCTTTATTCTTCCGGCCACTAAACTTAGCTTTAAGATTTAAACCATATTTCTCATTTTCTTTGGGACCAATTTTAACCTATCAATCATATTAAAATTCTTAACATTTTATGTCTCTATATTTAAATATTGAAGTTTTAACTTCCGCCATGAATCCCTTGATATGATTCGCACATGCATATTCAAACAGGAGACTAATCCAGACGAGTTTTATTTTAGAATCATACCTATTACTTTTACTGAAATAAATAACTTGGGAATTGGTTAAAGCTTATGTTTCGCTGTCCAAAATTCCTCAGGAACTGCTCTTATTTTTAGTTTTGAGATTCCATAAAGGAACTCTCGCCAACGATTCCCACATCTACTACACATGAGAGGCCTCCCTATGCGGTGATTAGAATCACTTTAATGTTTAGAATTTTAAACATTAATTTAGATAACTTTAAAAGTGAAATATTTTTCTTTTTATCAGTTACAGTAATGTGTATATACAATTTTAAAAAGAAATTGGATTCTTTGTCTCAGAAAATGTAATTATTTTGATTTTTAAACTTTTCTTTTATTATTTTGTCAGTTCCTCAAGTGCTTTTGTATCTAACTGTTGCTTTTGAAATTTCCTTGAAAAATTTATTTTATTTTTTAAATGTTGACATTGGATTTTAAGTATTGAAACTTTGTTACTTTATAACTGAATTTAAATATATTGTCAGAAACTTACTGTTTTTAATTCTATTTTACAGAAATTTCCAGAATTGAAATTTAAATACGTCGAAGAAGAGAAACCGGAAGAATTTTTCATTCCTTATGTTTGGTCTTTAGTGAGCGATTATTCCTGTGTTTATTTACAATCATCTTCTTTTAAAAAATGTTAATGAATAACTTAAACTTTACTTGTTTTATAGTCCAATAATTTGTTAATACATTTTTTATTATTATTATTTTTGATCAGACTTTTCATTTTTTATTTATTAATAATATAACGTATGAAAATTTCATTTTTGATGATCAAGTTTAAAACATTCACGAGATATGCCTACCTAAAATTAATAATTTAAAGTTTTTTAAAAAATGTTTAGATATTAAACTTTATCATAACAAGCTTAAAAATATGATTGGAGCCAAAAAGAAAACTTAACAATAGATCTTGATTTTTGTCATTAATTTTTTTCATTGCAATCCAGAAATTTTTTTTTCTTTGTGAAAAATAATGGAATATTCATATCTTTGTGTTTAGCACTTGTTCAGTTAATTGAGTTAACTATTCAATATTTATTTACCTAGTTACCCGATAAAGTGGATAACTACTAAATATTTTGATAAAGATCTACTAAATAATTTTATGTTTCTAATCGTTTTATATATATATATATATAAAATATTAAAAAATGATCTGAATGTCAAAATAAGGATTATCTGTCTTCCTATCACTAGTGCTTGTGATAATTGAGAGATGAATTATTTATCTTATTTCTGTCACCATATATCTCAAATAGTTAGGCATCTATTTAAGACTTTAAATTTTTGGTAGTGTGGAGATGGTTGACTGTAGATTCTAATTTCAGAAAAAGTTAGTTGGGGGTGCGGTAAATATATAAAATACTATATTACATAATAGTATGTTTATTGCACTGTCCAACGTTTTGACCTATGTTGTAGTCTTCTTCAGGACTAAAAAGATATGAAAAATATATGTTAATTGGGTACTTGTGAACTGTGTGGTCCCCAATATTCTTATCTTATCTTACATCACCTTCTTATCTTATGTTACGTCACATAACCTGCCTTTTTATCTCGTGTAAGCTGTTGTAAAATATATCTATAAGGAAAGGAATGTGGTTAGAGGGGTCGAAGATTACCTTTTCAACTGCTTTAAAATTAATTTATAGGTGGTCTCATAATTTGACAACAATACAGTGGGGCAAAGACTAGCTGAAACTATCGAACAGATGTATCATAATGTGGAACAAATTTTTAAGAGAGGTTTGTGCCCATAACATGTTATACCGGTCAACTAAGAAAATTGGAGGGCCTGGGAAAGTCATTGAAGTAGACGAGAGTCTTTTTTCTAAAAGAATAAATCATGTAGGGAAAGTTTTCCCTGAGCAATGGATGTTTGGCGGAGTTTGTCGTGAAACAGACGAGTGTTTCATCGTAAAAAAAAAGGAAAAAAAGGCAAGAACTTTATTAGAATGTATTAAAAATAATATAGAAGAGGGAAGCACTATTTATTCTGACTGTTGGAAAGGATACAACACCCAACAACTGAATGAAGCAAACCATCATCATTTGCAGGTAAATCACAGGTATAACTTTTTTGATAGATCAACTGGAGTCCATACTCAACATTTAGAATATTTATGGGGCTCAGCTAAGTGGAGAAATAAGAAACATCGAGGAACTGCTAGGCAACACCTCGATTCATATTTATATGAATTTTTTGTGGCGGCGGACTCACAGAAAAGAGGACCTGTTCCATGCTATTTTAAATAACATTAAGCTACTTTGTCTTCCAAAATAAATTATGAACATATATGCGTAAAGTGAAAGTGTTTTATATCTATATATGTTGTAAAATCAAAGTGTTTTGTTATTTATATTTCTTATTAAATTATAATATTAATATTTTTTATTAATATATTTATTTTTGTTATATTATTATATTTGTTTTTGTCTATATCAATTTCAAATCAAAGGGTTTTGTTATTCTTACATTTCTTTTCGTCTATTTCAATTTCGATAAATATGACATTTGATTTTGTCTATTTCATATATATGTTGTAAAATGAAAGTGTTTTGTTATTATTACATTTGTTTTTGAATTTCATATGAAGATAGGGATTATCAGTACCTTATCAGAGTTATCAGTGTTCAGGTTATAAATATTGGCAGATAGCAGTCCATGGGGACCAGACTGTTCACAAGTACTGTTAATTGTTACAGGGTACCAAAAATTATAAGTAAAATATTTATTAATATTGAAATAGTACAACTTATTAGAGAAAGAAATTGTGGAAATCTCAATATATCATAAGTGATGTGGTACAATTACAGTATGGTTTGAAATACAATGTTCTTTATACATAATTGATTTGACACTGTGTAATTTATTCATTAATCTGATGAAAAATAACAAACTGAGTTTATCATATGATATTAAAATGTAAAAAAAAAAGTTATGATAATGTAGAATGTTCCAGTAAATGTAAATGACAATTGACATTTAGTTCTATTTGATAGAGGTAATGGATTATTAGGATATCTGGAGTATATTAAGGGTAATAGGTAGTAGATATTTTATGAATAAAAATAATAATAAAAGTCAAACAGAACATTCAGTACGGAGCAGTACGGAGACTGGCAATCTGATGTTGGTAAGGTAAAAATGTGGATCTAAAAACGTTCAGGTAAAAAGGGACTAAAGGGGTTGTTAAAATAATTACTGGTCCGTTGTCAGAAAAGTCCAAGTAGATGAGATAAGAAAAAACCATTATGCCTTAAATTATTACAGTGATAGTTGCATGAATTGATCAAGTATTAGTTAAAGTATTAAATACACCCAAGAAGAGCAGGGACAGGTAATTGACATGTACTTGTAAATGTGAACTATGGTGTAGGGGATTTTGAAATCCGTGAATGAGGTCGCATTTTTATGGTGAGCGTATAAGGAGTTGTAATATATATATATATATATATATATATATATATATATATATATATATTTAAACTTAACTATTTAATTGGGAATAAGGTCACTTATTAATAATTTAATAAACTATTGAATGTTCATTTCTTCTGGTTATTGACGTTTCGATCCCGGTATTTTCTTTTTATTAGTTAACGATGGGATCCTCTTAAAAGCTAGAATATTAAAAAATAGAGCTTCGATCAGGCCAGGAACACACCGACAGTCTCAGCACCGTCCACTAGCATATATATTAAGCTACTGAGTAGTACAATACTTTCATAATCTTTAACTAATGAATTTTTCTCATCTACAATAACTTTTGACCCCTCCGAAATTCCCAAATTTTCTTTTGCCTCACTATTAAATGCCATTTTGTTTACTTAAAAACAATAGTAAAGTGAAAAAATAACGAGGATTGTGTGTTTAGTTGTTGTGGCTATATACGTCTATTTTGAAAGCCACGATAGTTGGGCGCCATGTTGTATCGTTACGTTTATTTTCAATGCCCCACATTGGGCGCTATGTTGTAATGTTACGTTCTCTTTGAAAAGTAAACAAAACAGTTTCTGAATCAAATAATATTTGTTTTAATCAATAATTAATTCTCAGGTTGGGTTGAGACAACAAACACACATCCTCAATTATACAATATAAAAGCATACATTAATTGTACATAACAATTATGAATTTGCATTCATTTGTTCTAATCTTTCGAACTGTCTGTATTGTAACATCTCTCTTATATTTTACAAATAATAATAATATAACCTTGGAAGGTCACTTTAATACTATTGGGATACTTCCTAAATAAATAAGAGGTTGTTTAATAATAAACAAAATTATAAGAGAATTTTTGTATAGCCTGCTCTTACAAGTATTACACCTGTAGGCCTCTCCAATTAAGAGGATAAGAGAATTAATATACTTATTTATCTCAGGTGTGGTTTACTGACAATCAGATCAACTTAGACAAACTATTATTATTTACACTGAAATTAAACATTGATCTTAAAATAAAGTCAAGTATGAATTGGCAAGCTAACCTTTTTTCTATATACACTGTTTCTTCCTTTGTTACACTAAATTCATTTGTCTTCAAATGCTTTCCAATGTTCTGCCAAACACAACTTCCCAATTGATAACACTATCTTCTACTCAACTCAAGCTCCCTGGGAGATCCTTTCTCTTGTAATTCCAAAAACTTGTCTCTCTGCCAAACAACTTCCAAGGTGGTAATACTATTATTGGGTTTTACCCACTGGAGCCAGGATCCCTTCTCCCATCCTCTCTTCACTGCAGCCATACAACTGCTTGCCAAAACAAAAATCATTGTTGTCCCTCTCCTCTTTGGGATTTTCCTTCTTGGGCAACTACAGAGCAGCCATTTTCTCTTCCCTGCACTAATAGAACTAGTTTGCCTTTTAACTGTTACATTAATTTATTAAACTATTTTTAACAACTTCCAATAAAGTTGTATATTGCATTATATTTCATTCACCCTTTTCTGTATTGAATCTTCCTCTGTATATTGTGTTCTACTTCTTTCAATCTTCTAATTTCCGTTTGTTGACACTCACTACTTGTTAACTCACATTTTCTTTACTCAATCCTCTTTACTAGCCGGCTGGCTACGTTCTGCCCAAACATATGGGCACTTGGTTCTCCTTCCATCTGTCATTCTTTGACAGTTGTTCGTATGTCACTGCCTTTGCGCCAATATTTAAAATCACTTTGTAATATTTACATTACAATATATATATATAGAAAGAAAACTTTATTCTGGGACAAGGTCCCTTATGAATAACAGATATGAACAAAAAATAAAAACTACATCTGGCCAAAAATGACATTAGTCAATGTTAAAGAATATATAGTATCTTTAGTAAAATTAAATTAAAACAAGTAAAAATAACACCATTTTGAAAAGAAAAAAAACTAAAAAAAAAAACATTATTTAAATGAAAAGAGAACAAAATAAAATAAACATGGGTTGATTTTTAAAATTAAAAACTATCAATTTTTACAACCATTCACCTCAGTCAAAATCTGTTTCGCAGTATTTATTTTATTGTATAACGTCATTTTGGGATCTGAGAAGGAATTGGTAAAGATGATATTTAAATGAGGACAAGGAAGAGGCATGGTGGATTTCAGAAGGCAGTGGATCGGGCAATAAAGGAATATTCAAACGTCTTAGTTCTATGGAAAGGGATATAAAGGTCGGAAACACGGGATCTTGTTTTCTGGGAGTGGACCACGGGTTTAAACTGTAGGATACTGTAGATGTAGGAAGGGTGTCGGGTGTTGATCGTTTGGAATAGGAAAGATCCAAGGAAATATTGTCTGGGAGCGACGAAATAGCTTAAGGGTACCTATTGACTTACGGGAGATGAGGGCGATATGGGGTTTCCAGGAGAGGTTTTCGTCTATGGTGATTCCTAGGTTTTTAACGGAGGAGCTGAATGTGATAGGATGATCCTTGATGACTAAAGGAGGAAGGAAGGAAATGGATTTAAGAATAGAATTGGAACCTATAATAATGGCCTGAGTTTTCGTCGCGTTTAGATTTAAATTATTCAGACTTGCCCAGGCACTGATCCTATCTAGGTCTGCCTGAATATTGGCGAACGCGACTAGTAGCTCAGAAGGATGAAGGATGAAAGGCGAACTCTCCAAAAGCGCCATAGAAACTCTGCCCCCGGTTCGACGGGCAACTCACCTAATAAAAAAAAAAACAAATCCGCTAAAACAAAGCAAGCTCTCAAAGTAAATAAACAATCAAAAACTAGTAATAATTCAGCTATGAAACCTGACACTAAACCATCAACTAACACATCCAGTAACAATTCTGTTACAGCCAATAATAAAATTAACGAAATCACTGAACCTAGAACTTTCACTGAACCAGTGCCACCTCCGATTTATGTAAGCAAGATTGACAATTTCATTCAGTTCGGTCAAGAAATAGCTAATCTGATCGGACCGACCAACTTCCGGTGTTTTTCTCGAGTCAACGATATAAAGATTAACACCAATACTAAAGATGATTATAAAAAACTTATAAATCATTTGACAGCACTCAATCACGACTTCCACTGCTATCAACTAAAAGAAGACAAAACATATAGAGTGGTTTTGAGAGGTCTTCACTCTACCACACCCACTACCGCTATAAAAAAAGATCTGGAAGATATCGGCCATTCGGTAAGACATATATCTTCTATTTTACATCCTATTGATAAATATCCACTGCCACTATTTTTCATCGATCTAGAACCAGCCCGGAATAATGCAGAAATCTTCGAAGTTAAAAGACTGCTGTATTCTGTTGTAAAATTTGAAGAGCCGAGGCAGAAACCAATAGTCGTTCAATGCACCAAGTGCCAAAACTTAGGGCATACAAAGGCTTACTGCCATCACTCGGTGCGTTGCGTTAAATGTGCCGGGCCTCACGCCTCTAACACCTGCCAGAAACCGTTAAATGAACCACCAAAATGTGCCCTTTGTGGTGAGGACCACCCTGCAACCTATCGGGGCTGCATTATCTATAAGAAGCTATACAAGCAAAGAACTTATAATTTATCATTAAAAGAAGAACAGAAGAATTCTACCCAGGCACAGGTACAGGCACCTGAACTCCTAAATTTGGCAGCGTTTCCTCAACTGCCGAACGAAATAATACCACAATTGACGCACAACCCTTCTACATCAACAGATCATCCCCATCAAGACTCTAGGCACCTATATTCAGACACTACGGTGAAGAATCAACAGCCGCGACGTCAGACGCCTCAGATTTCCAAAACTAAGACTCAGGCTTCCAAACCTAAGATCCAGACCTCCCAATCCAAGACTCAAATCTCCCACATTCATTCAAAATCTCCACGTCAGCAAATGCCTCCTCACCAGATACCTATACGTGTAAAATTACCGCCCGAACATCCAACTCCTGTTTATTCCCACCCTTCTGCTCATATTTACTCTCCTTCCCAAGTTCCAAGGGTACATCCTTCATCAGACACTCCTTATCATAAGATCTTTCCCTCACGAACTCCTAATCAAAACCAACCTGACCAACAAAACCCGATCGATTTAATAAACTCCACCCTTGCGTCCTTCCTGAAAGATCTCCAAGAGACTATCAAGCCACTAATTACCCTCCTCACAAGAATCCTTACCGAAATTCCCTTCAATCTCTCACGATGAGCACTAAGCCCCTAGCTGTTCTTTTATGGAATGCTAACGGACTACAAAACCACCGAGACGAACTCGACATTTTTCTTCATGACTATCACATTGATATTGCTCTACTGACAGAAACTCACTTCACTCGACGTTCATATTTCTACATACGTGACTATATCACTTATAGATCAGACCACCCCGACAACACTTCCCATGCCGGTTCTTGCATCCTTATCCATAAATCCTTATCCCATTCTCTCATTCCTTCTACTCCAACGGAGGCTATTCAAGCAACCTCGGTTATCATTTCAACTCGTCCTTTCCATTTAACATTCTCAGCTGTATACTGTCCTCCCGGTCATACTCTTACCTATAACTTACTTGAATCCTTATTTCAATCCTTCGGATCGCGCTTTATTGCTGGAGGAGACTACAATGCTAAACACCAACGATGGGGTTGTCGATCATCCAACTCCCGTGGTAACATACTATCTTCTGTCTCAACTTCCAATAGTTACTCTGTCCTCTCTCCTATGAATCCTACCTATTGGCCAACATCCCTCAAAAAACGCCCTGATATCCTCGACATATTTGTCACCTCCCAAATTTCCTCTTCCCATGTCACAATAAAATCCCTGGATGACCTCTCCTCAGATCATTCTCCAGTTCTGCTTTCATTACACACAACCTTCGCTCCTAAGCCCTCGTCCTCTCCTACACTGATTACAGGACGAGTAAACTGGGACAATTTTCGTAAAGACCTGGAAAATAAATTGGACCTAAATATTCCACTTAAGA